ACACACTCTCTCTCTCACACACACACACACACAAACACACACACACTCACTCTCTCTCTCTCACTCACACACACACAAACACACACACACTCACTCACTCTCTCTCTCTCACACACACACACTCTCTCAGAAAACTGAACAGAGCAGCTCAATCTTCAAACAACAGCAGACCTCAGGAAGTCAAACTGAAGGCGTTTGGCTAATGTTGAATGATTTCATGTCATGACACAGATTTGGGGCACAGTTTAAAATCCTGACTCGTGTGATTGTTATTTACTAGAAAAAAAAAAACAAAAAAAAAAAAAAAAAAAAAAAAAAAAAAAAAAAGGGCAAGTGTGTGTTTTTAACATATAGAATCTTTAATCTAAAAAAAAAAGATGAAAAATGACAAAACGTGCAAGTTGGTTAAACCTATTTTCCATAAATGTCATTATTTATCCATTGGTATCAATAAGTTTTATTTATAATAATAATATATCATCATAATATAGTCACTTTCGGATGCTCAAACTAATTATGAGGCATTTTATTTTATTTTTATCTGGTTCGCAATTTTTGAAACCATTTTACCAAAACCTGGAACATAAAGAAAGTTTAAATGATTACTTACTAGCACTATTACATTGTCAGAAATGTAAAAATAAATAAATAAACAGGCAAAATATAAAGAAAAAATTATAATAATTATTTACAATTTTTTTAAATGTTAAACATATAGTAAATAAAAAATACACTATTTTTAAAAAAATTAATCTGATTATTTGTTAATTTGAATAAACTATAAAATATTTCTTACAATAACATAGTCAACGCCGAATGGTCAAATTATATCATATTCTATGAGCTGCTTTATTTTTTAATTAATCTTAGATATTCTTTACATTTTTTGAAACCATGTTACCAAGATTTGGGAGATAAAAGCAGTTCACATTATTTACTGGCAGTAAACAACAACAACAACAAATCTAACTTTATTTATTTTTAGATAAAAAATTGTTATTTTAAATTACAAAAATATTTCACAAAATGTATTTTTGATCAAATAAACGCAGTCTCGGTGAGCAGAAGAGACTTTAAAACGGTTTTCCAAACTACTGAAACTTACAATATGTTCCATAAATAAATGTAATAAAGCAAAAAACAAAACCTCACTACCCAACACAATTTTTTCATAAATCTAAGTTTTCCTTCATTTGAATGAATTCTTGTATAATTTGTAAAGTTTGAATAATTTCAGTAGCAGCGTTGAATAGCTGAGCTTGACAAATGACTCGAGAGCTACAATAATCACGGACTTCCTGTCTGCACAGGAAGTGGAGCGCCGGCTCTCACCTGCACCTCCACCACGTGGATGGAGTCCCAGCATCCCTTGATCTTCTTGGAGCCGTCTCCAGCTTTCTTGATGAGGATGACTCCGGCGAATCCGTGATCCAGATCCCACAGGTAGACGGAGGAAACCCCGCCCTCGAAATACCTGCGAGAGAGCGAGCGGAGCGTCAATCACGGCTGCCGGCCAATCAGAGCGCAGGGGGGCGTGTCGTGGGCGTGTACTCACAGGTCTCTGTACTCAGTTGACTCTTTAATAAAATTTAAATATAATAATAAAATAAATTTTTAACAATTTAATCATTTATTTAACATTTTATTTTACAATAATAGGCCCTATTAAATGTTTATTTTCTCAGAAATTCTTTTCAAAATTTTTCTGGATTTATAAAGGCATAAAACTAATCTTATAAACCTATTCAAAAGCAAATAAATCCTTTTACTTTTGGTAAACAAAGACATTCAGTGTATGTAAAGAGCAGCGTATCTCTTTTAGATGTTAACGCACCTGTAGGAGTCTCCATCGCGGTTGTAGTCACAGAGCAGATAGTCTTTGCCCACGACTTTATCACGCGCGATCTTCAGCGGCTGATCCACCGACGACAGCAGGTCTTCACACAGACTGGGCACCTGACACACACACACACACCACACGCTCAAGCACACGCACATTCACACACACACACGCGCACACGCACCTGCACACAATTACACAATCACACGCTCATGCACACTCACACACAATCCCACGCGCACACTCACTCACACACACACACACACACACACACACACTCTCACTCACGCACGCACACACACACACTCACTCACTCACACACACACACACACTCTCACTCACGCACGCACACACACACACTCACTCACTCACACACACACACACACTCTCACTCACGCACGCACACACACACACTCACTCACTCACACACACACACACACTCTCACTCACGCACGCACACACACACACTCACTCACTCACACACACACACACACTCTCACTCACGCACGCACACACACACACTCACTCACTCACACACACACACACACTCTCACTCACGCACGCACACACACACACTCACACACACACACACACAAACACACGCACACACACACACACAATCACACGCACACAATCACACGCGCACACACGCACAATCACACGCACACAATCACACACTCAAGCACACTCACACGCTCACGCACACAATCCCATGCGCACACACACTCACTCACACACTCACACACAATCACACTCGCACACACTTAAGCTCACGCACACTCACACACACACAATCACATGCGCACACACACGCTCAAGCACACACACACGCACACACAC